TTTTCTAAAATTAATGGAAAATTTACTTTTTAGACCAATTAAAATGAGATTCTAACTCCTCCTACTTTAAAAAAGCAATTTTTTATTCGTTGGTTCAACATTACAAAAAGGGAGTGAATATTCAATTTTTAAAAAGTTACATTTAGTCTTAACCCATTAAGAAAAAAAGATGTCTGGCCAATAAAAATAAACTCCTCCTATTTTCAAAATGCAATTTTTGATTTGTTAGTTGAGTGAAATTAATATTTGAAAAATAAAACATAAATAATACCAACCCGCAAAGAAAAAATGGATGATTTAGACCAATAAAAATAATAAACAAACTCCTCCCATTTTCAAAATCAATTTTTCTATTTGTTAGTTTAGTTAAACAAAATGGAGAAAAAATTAATATTTGAAAAATAAATCATATATTTCTGTTCTATTGAAGAACTCTTGTTCTTTAAGAAGGAGGAGTTTAAATTTTATTTTAGTTGGTCTAAAACATCCTTTTTTTCTTTTGGGGGTTGGAATTATATGTTTTATTTCTTAAATATTAATTTTTTCTCCATTTTGTTTAGCTCAACCAATAAATAGAAAGAAAGGTTTCTTTAAGAAGGAGGGGTTTAAATTTTATTTTAATTGGTCTAAATTATTCATTTTTCTTTTTGGGGGTTGGAATTATATGATTTACTTTTTAAATATTAATTTTTCTCCATTTTGTTTAACTGAACCCATAAATAAATATATCTGTAGGAGGAGTTTGATTTTTTTATTGGCTAGTCTCTTTTTTCGTGAGGGGTTGGGACTAAATTTTATATTTTTTAGAGTTTAATATTTTCTCCATTTTGTTTTATTAAAGCAACAAATAGAAAAAAAGGTTTCTTTAAGAAGGAGGAGTTAAAATTCTATTTTAATTGGTCTAGAACATTTATTTTTTTGGGGGGTTGGAATAGTATGTTTTAAATTAAAATATTTAATTTTTTCTCCATTTTGTTTAGTTTAACCAACAATTGAAAAAAAGCTTTGATTAATAAGGAGGAGTTTAAATTTTATTTTACTTGGTCTAGAACATTCATTTTTTCTTTGGGGGTTGGAATTATATGTTTTATTTCTTAAATAATAAATTTTTCTCTATTTTGTTTAACTGAACCAATGAATAAAAATATAGGAGGAGTTTGATTTTTTTATTGGCTAATAGCATTTTTTTCGTGAGGGGTTGAGACTTATATTTTTTAAAGTTTAATATTTTCTCCAATTTTGTTTTATTGAACCCACGAATAAAAAATAGTTTTTATTAAGAGGGAGGAGTTTAAATTTTAATTTAATGGGTCACATCCATTTTATCTTTTGGGGGTTGGGACTAAATTTTATATTTTTTAAATATTACTTTTTTCTCCATTTTGTTTAACTCAACCAACAAATAGAAAAAAAGGTTTCTTTAAGAAGGAGGAGTTTAAATTTTATTTTAATTGGTCTAAATCATCCATTTTTCCTTTTGGGGGTTGGAATTATATGATTTATTTTTTAAATATTAATTTTTTCTCCATTTTGTTTAACTAAACTAACAAATAGAAAAATTGATTTTGAAAATGGGAGGAGTTTGTTTATTATTTTTATTGGTCTAAATCATCCATTTTTTCTTTGCGGGTTGGTATTATTTATGTTTTATTTTTCAAATATTAATTTCACTCAACTAACAAATCAAAAATTGCATTTTGAAAATAGGAGGAGTTTATTTTTATTGGCCAGACATCTTTTTTTCTTAATGGGTTAAGACTAAATGTAACTTTTTAAAAATTGAATATTCACTCCCTTTTTGTAATGTTAAACCAACGAATAAAAAATTGCTTTTTTAAAGTAGGAGGAGTTAGAATCTCATTTTAATTGGTCTAAAAAGTAAATTTTCTATTAATTTTAGAAAAATGGGAAAAAATTGCATATTTTATCTTTCTTAGTATAATTATTTATTTTCTGCTTTTTTATTTTTTATATTTTATTAAATATACTAATAATTGTCATTGAAATTGATTAAATTAAAAAAAGGTTAATTTCAATATACAATTTTTAGAATTGCTTTAAATAAAATTCATCTTGGAAAGTTGGTTTTCCTATTTCTTGTTTTGAATGTGGATAAAACAGAGGAGTTCGAATGTCAGTCCCGCCATCTGTCGTGAGAAATGCGCGGCGATATATCAAGTAGTATATTATCATTGCTTCACACACACACGCATACATTTCACGGTAGAACTGACATCTCCAACTTTAAACATTAATTATTCAATAAGTAAACATTAATTTGCCCTAAATATGTAATAAATAAATGCTTTAATGATTACTTTTGTTAAATTAAATAAGTTTTCCTAATCTTTTCTTTTCATTATTCACTAAATATGCTATTTAAAACCCACTATATTCACTGGAAACTACTTTGTCACTTTTATGAGAATATCAATAATTTATTTATAATTGTTTAATTTACATAATATAATTTAAAAATTTAATCTACAATTGTTACTTTATTATTCCCAATAATTTATTTTATAATATTTCATTGAATAATAGCAATTTTTTAAGTCTACCCAAAACCTACCTTAAATCTACCATAACTTGTGTAGATTTACGGTAGCCCAACCCGCCAGGGATGGAAGAGACAACTTTCAGAATGGAAGCACATTCCATATTCAATGGATGAGGGAGCCATATTATATTGTTGAATCAAATATGGATGTGACATCCATAGGCATGGTTGGGCTTACAATTCATGCTATGGATTTTCACATATGGCTGTCTCATCCATATAAACTTTGGTTGGGAGATCCATAGTTAGTTCAAAATTTCGATACATGTTGCGCTCAATTCATTATCATGGCATCCATTTAAAAATGGTCGTCTCGATTTGTCCGTCGCGTCGGTTTCCTGTCACGTCTATATTATCGCGTTGTGAGTTTATTGTGTATAAATAGTGTTACAATTGTTCATTATTTATTATCGTTCTTGTCTATTAGTGTTTATGTAAATTCATTTTCATGAAATATGTGTATAGTATATAAGGAATATTAATTATATGCTCAAATATTGTAGTTGCGTGTATATAGTGTAGTGGATAGCGTTAGTGTTTAGTATGCGTTAGGTCTAGGGTTCGTGTCTCCCCCATCGATTAATAATTTATTTCGTAAATATGCGGTTATTCAATAAGTGGTGTGTATTAATTAACAAAAATGTGTATAAAATATCTCAAGTGACATAGAATTTAATTAATTGAGTGATTCTAATTTTTTTGTTTCCCATTTCCATTACTATGGATCACCCAACCATAGATCTTTTGCTGCTCCAACAATATACAGCCAGCCATAGAATATGGATGCAGCAACCTTAACTATGGATATCCCGTATTTTTCAATATAATATGGCGTGATATCCATGTATCTGGATGTGTCAACTATTCCTTTTTCTCCGTGTATATCACCAGTTGTGAGACGGTGTCAACACTCATCTGGGCAGCATAAAAAATACGAATTTGCAGGCATACTATTTAAATGTTGTTTTGATTTTTTTTCTAGTATTTTTGGGCATGTCAAGTGGAAAAAAGTCAATTGATTCAGAAGAAATCAATTTTAATGCTCTTGTTCAAGCTATTAAATTGTGTTTATTTGATAGTCATATTTTGGCGAATAAATATTATTATTTAGTATATAATAATATATATTATTAATATATTTAATTATTTCTATTAAACATAACGTTTTATGTCAAACTTATTAAATTTTATCAATTTTTAATGAGTGTCTCACAACTGGAGACATTTTTTTTTTTGACAAAAGCGATGTACTCGGAAAATGTATCGTAAAATTTTTTGAGTTCATCGAAGCACTACATTTTCTTTTAATGAAAGTTGCGTATTTCTGTTACCTTTCGAACGGTGTATTTTATTTACAATTTCGTTCACCCGTTTACAATTTACGGGTCAAAAATAAAACCCGTTTCACAACTGGAGACTCTCCCCTATTCATTAAAAAGATTTTCTTAAGTGGCCGACTATTGTCTGGTTTACCCTAATTCAAGTGACTAAGATATTCACGAAATTATTGAAAGCAGTAATAAACTTTTTTCTTGGAAACTATCAGAACTGAAAGCCAAATTTTGGAAAATTCCTGGAAAGAAAAAAATCAGTACTACATATTTTCAATAATTCACACAAATTCCAAATAAAAAGTTAATGTATTGTTTAAGTTAAGGAAACATCTGATTAAGGAAACATCAATTCAGAAACATCTGATGGAAATTTGTCATTCTTTATTGATGGGATGAATAGGATTGATTCAGAGAAATACAAATGTTCCAAATTAATGTCTATGGAAATGTTCAAAATTTATTTTTTTTCTTATTTCGTGAGATTTCTTTAATGCATAAAATTCTTTAATTTTATTCTTTTTTTTTTCTTGCGTCTTCTATCATCTAGTTTCTCTTTTCATTTTTTATTCTTAAACTTATTTTTTCTTCTTTCATTCTTCTCTTATTTTCCATATACATTTTTTCTTCTCTTGACATATTCTTCCGCTTTCTGCCCTTTCCCGTGTTTTCGATTATGTACCTTCTTTCTTTTGACTTTTCATTTCTGTCTTCATTATTCAACTTAAAAATAAAAATTCTAAGTTAAATTTAAAGTTTTTTTAAAAATAGTTATCAAAAATGAATTCTACAGATATTAAACATCATTTCTACAAATTATATGAGATTTTTCTAAAAATAGTCCGCAACAACTTTAGTAATGTTTTTAAAAATTCTTAAAGAACTTTGTGAAGAATTATTTTTTTAATTATTTGAATTAATAATTTCAGTATTTGAAGAAAATACCATTTAATTGTTATGTCAAAGGTAGACGAAATCATCTCCGTTTGCGTATTTGCTTATCATGTTTAGTCAGAACTTTCCGGCTTCATCCAGCTCACCCTGTTTTATCTTCGGAGAAACTACAATACTTTTATAAGACTGTATTCTTAATTAAAATAAAAATCGCATTACACTTTAAAACATGAAAGTTATTTATTTAAAACATTTATATAAATTTCAATTGTTATAAAAATCAAACCTCTTTTCTAGTTTTCATTAATAATAATTCACATTTCTGTATGTGGGTATTTAGAAAATAAGACGATCAAAAAACTACTACTTCATGATATCAAAATACTTTTTTATCCCACATGCACAAAAATGGCGCTTTCAGATAGCTGACGACAGGGAGTAAAGTCATTTATTTGTTCGATCCCATGGGCTCCCATGGACAAAAATAACAGCTGGTCCCATGCTATCTGAAATGGACACTTTTGTGCATTAGGAATAAAAAATATTATAATAACACGGAAACAAAGGCAGCCCAATTTGTCCCCTTGTTGCTTAATTACTATTATTCAACGTGGAATTTGAAGAAATTGCTTGATTAATATATCTCGAACAAATGTCGGACTGAAGCGGCAAAGCGTATGATAGAAGGTATATCTCCATGGACAGACTCTAAAAACAAATTATGTTTAGTAATTAGTATGTAATATTATGACAACTGAATAAAAATTATATATTTTATATTAAAATTTTTGCAAAGTTGAGAAAATTATATTTTCTACAATTTCTAGATTTTAAAATACCAATAATTTTGTCATTTCTGACCAAATTAGGTCCAAAAATAGGTCAATCGAAGCGTTTTTTAATGTTCTACAAGTTGGCAATGATATTTTTAAAGTTACTTTTACATTTTTAAACAAAATTTTTAAAAAAGTTGTAACGATGCGCTATGTATTAATATATAGAGCAATATGAATACGTCACACACAGCCACCGTATTCGCGTTCATCGTGAAAGCAAGGAGAGAGTAGCGACCACGCACCAAACTTGCGTCGTCTGCCTCCGCTCCCCCAGCACTTGCTCTCCTCGCGTCGCGACAGAGTAGGATGGGCGATCTCGAAAAAAAAGAATCGATTTAAAAAATCAATCTCTAAAATTTAAAATCGATTTTTTTGATTAATCGACCAAAAAAAATCGTTTTCAGAATCGATTCATTTCGATTTTCCTATAAATTAATGATCAATGAAAAATATTGCTTTCTTTTTCAATCACAGGGAATTTCGTTTGCAAATAATGAACATTAAACAAATTCAGTCTTTAAAATGCACTGAAAGTGCTTTGCATCTTTATTATTTACATTTAGTTAAACAAAATTTATTTTCTTATAGATCAAATTTAAATTTGAAAGTTCAACAGTTTTAAAAATACCGTATACATATTGAACTTACTGTACACTTCCCTGCTGGAAGTAAATAGATAGAAACCTTTTCTCTTTTAATCCCTTTCTATTGCTAATATAGAAAGAGATATGAATAATGTATAACTTTTAATCTCTTACCTATACTTCTTTATGCCTTTCTATTCCTACCTCTATCAACTTGTTCGCTATTTCTTTTAATCACCTTTTTTGAATAACTTTTAATAGCCATTTTAAACCCTTCTATCTCTTTTTATATACAATCTTATTACAACTTTTTGTTATTCCTTTCAATCACCTTTTCTCTATTACTTTTAAAATCCTGTCTATTTCCTTGTATCTCTTTCAATGTTAGACCTTATAGACACTATTCTTTATACCTATTAATAACCTACCCAAGTAGCACGTAATATTGGGAACATTCCAGCAATATGCCACAACATTGAGGCAATATTGGTAATGTTAAGGCAATGTTCCCAATATCGCTGTAATATTACGTGCTACTGGGGTATTCTCAATACCTTTTTATAACCTGTCTATAAACTTCTATCTCTTTTTATGACAGAAGTTCTCGATACTCTTCTTTCTCCACATTTATAACCTTTTCTTAATAACTATTGATATCCTATTTATACCCTTCCATCGCTTTTTATGTAGGATCTTATTAACACTTATTTATTACCATTATTCCCATTATTGAGATAGAAAAAGATAGAAATGCGAGACTGCAAAACTATAAACCTTTTTTATTCCTTTTTATCATTCTTCTTTTCCGAATGTTATTCTTTTAATCTTCTTTCAATCCCATATTCTATCTCCTATTACTTTATTTAGAAGAGATAGGGATAGTTAAGAATATGGGGATTTGAGGAGATATAATAAGATTATCTCTTCTAATCTACTATAGTATATCCCTTTCTATATACATACTCATAAACTTATACGCGCATGCGTCGATTTTCCCAGCTGTTATGTGTCATGGCGTCGGGTCAGTAGATCCGTAGATCAGAAAGCGTGTGTTATGCACTGTGCGATTGTACGTTTTTGTTTGAGTTTATAACTTCCATATTTTTATAGTTTATTGTAAATATATTTAACCAATAAATGTTTATCAGTAATAGACAACCAAAATTAGTTTTAAACTCACAAAGCATCGAAACTTTTCTAAAAATTTATTAAAGATTTACTTGCAAATTTTTTATATAGTTAATCGTAATGAATTAAAACAACACGATTAAGAAACTCAATTAACAACAATAGAGAAAGTTTTTAATTGAAATTAATCGATTTCTTCTATAAGGGGTATCTCCTTTTTTACTTTCCTTTGGATTAGAAAGGATGTGAAAATGGATAGAGGAAGACAGAAATGTATGAAAAGAAAGAGATTGAAAAGTTCTATCTTCTTTAATTCACCACTTTGCATCCCCAATTTTTTATCTCTTTCTATATATTTTTTTCTATATATTTCTATATCTAAAACTGTATATAAAGAGATTAGAAGGGATAAAAAGATATATAAATATAAAGTTATAGAAAGAGATAAAAAAATTGTATCTCTTTTAAGTATCCATTTTGCATCTCCAAACTATTATATTTTCTAATCTTTTTTTATCCCCTTTTTTTAATCTCTTTGTATCTCTTTACTTCCAGCAGGGTTAGAAGCACACTACAATTATTTAAAACCATTAAATGTTTTAATAATTATTATCATAATTATTATCTTGTTTATGTCAGAAGCAGTCTTTTGCATGCACTAAAAGTGCTATATTTCTTTGATTAATATTTATTTAAATAAAAAAAATAAATATTTTCTGTTATACTAATCGATCATTGGCTGCTAAAGGTATTTAAAACGTTTGCTACATAGAGATATCCCAGACGGAGACGCATGTATATCCCCTAATCGCCAAGTCGTCGAATGATCAAATAGTCGAATGCCAAATAATCGAATGGACAAAACGTCGAATGCTAAAAACATCGAATTATCAATTCGTCGAATGTTAAAAATATCGAATCGTCAATATGACGAATGTTCAAAACGTCGAATTATCAATTCGTCGAATGTTAATAACATCGAATTGTCAATTCGTCGAATGTTAATAACATCGAATTGTCAATACGTCGAATGTTCAAAACGTCGAATGATAAAAAAGTCGAATGCTAAAAACATCGAATCGTCAACATGTCGAATGTTCAAAACGTCGAATTATCAATTTGTCGAATGCTCAAAACATCGAATTGTTAATTCATCGAATGCTTAAATCATCGAATTTTCCATTCGTCGAATGTTCAAAACGTCGAATACTAAAAACATCGAATTCTCAAATCGTCGAATGCTCAAATAGTCGAAACGCCATCTGTTCGAAATGTCAAGTAGTAGAATGATAAAGTAGTCGAATGGTAAAGTAGTCGAAACTCCATCTGTTCGAATTGCCAAGTAGTAGAATGGTAAAGTAGTCGAATGTTCAAAACGTCGAATGATAAAAACGTCGAATGCTCAGAACATCGAACTGTTAATTCGTCTTAAAACGTCGAATGATAAAAACATCGAATCGTCAAAAGTTCGAAAAAGTTCTTTGTCTTCAGTAGACATTAACTTAAAACAAAGAACTTTTTCGAACTTTTGACGATTCGATGTTTTTAGCATTCGACGTTTTTATCATTCGACGTTTTGAGCATTCGACGAATGGAAAATTCGATGATTTAAGCATTTGATGAATTAACAATTCGATGTTTTGAGCATTCGACAAATTGATAATTCGACGTTTTGAACATTCGACATGTTGACGATTCGATGTTTTTATCATTCGACGTTTTGAACATTCGACGAATTGAGAATTCGATGTTTTTAGCATTCGATTAAATGAAGATTCGATGTTTTTAGCATTCGACTAAATGACGATTCCATGTTTTGAACATTCGACAACTTCACCATTCTACTACTTGATAATTCGAACAGATGGCGTTTCGACTTTTTGTCCATTCGACTACTTTACCATTCTACTACTTGGCAATTCGAACAGATGACGATTCCATGTTTTGAACATTCGACAACTTTACCATTCTACTATTTGATAATTCGAACAGATGGCGTTTCGACTATTTAAGCATTCGACGAATGGACTATTCGATGGTTTTACCATTCGACTAAATGACGATTCGACGTTTTGAACATTCGACGTTTTTACACGGAAAAAAATTTCCTGTGAAAATTACAAAATTTCCTGTGCCATCTATGAACGGCGGTTGTAGTATCCACAAACGGCTGAGTTTGGGAAATACACAAACCAGAATGAGTCTTGTCACAAACTTCAGTTTATGATTCAACAGCTTAAACAGTCACGCAGCAGACGACAAGCAGACGTTCACTTGAATTTTTTTGCGCATGCGTGGATTTCTTGGTGTTAGAACAGATTGGTTTGTGGTACACACAAACCAGCTTGTTGGAAACCATGGAGTATAGACTTAAGGAGACCAATCTTATATGCATGTACTTCACTGAAAGGCGCAACATTTTGTCGGAAGTACATCAGTAGTACGTGTACATCCTGTAGATGGCAAACGATCGCATATATAGTTGCTTGATTAAGTCCTAACCGTCCTAACCTTATTTTTGCTGTATTTTGAAATTAAAAATAATTTCAAATAATAAATAGGTTATATAAAATTATGCCAATGAATTCTACTTTCATAAATAATAATATTCTTCGGAAGAATTCAATTATTTTTAATACAATTATTATAAAACTTCACGAAAGGATTCAATTTAAAAAAAACAAAGAAATTCTTCAAAAAATTTAATTATTTATAAAAGTTATAATAAAATTGATTAAAAGAGTTTAAAGTTCTATCAATAATTTTAATAAAGTTTTAATAGGCACGTGGCCACTGAATAACATGACCTTTATAGTAAAATTAATTATTACTGTAATTTGAGGTTTGAGGTTATTAACATAACCTCAAACTAAAAAGTGATCTAACAATTTTGACAAATAATAGCTCATTGTGTTCTTTAAAACATTCTTTACAATTACATTCGTTAAATTTTGTTTAAAATATTTTGTTCAAAAGTTAAGCAAATAAAATAAAAAAATTTTTTTTTAATAACTTTTGAACAAAATATTTTAAACAAAATTCAACGAGTGGAAATGTAGAGAATGTTTCAAAGAGTAGAATAAGCTATTATTTATCAAAATTGGATAAAAATTTTAATTGGTTACTGACCCTTAAAGAAAAAACACATAATGTTTAACAA